CCTTCAACAAATTGGTGAATGTAGAAAAAAACGTTCTAAAGGAATAACGGAAGAACAGTCTTTCTCCAGGACCACCGAGAAGTTCTCCGAAGATTGGACAATCCGGCAGCTATATCCTGGGTCCTACATTGTTTCTGATCTTCATCAATGATCTCCCTAATGTCATTAGTTCCCAAGTAGGCATTTATGCAGACGACACTACTATTTATTCCTGTCTCAATAGTAAGCCCAAAGGCGCTAACAGAGTTAACCTGGCCGCTGCTCTCGAAAATGACCTCCGATCAAATGGCTTGTAAATTTTAATGCCTCCAAAAACCACCATAGAGAAACATCCCTGTCTCCCATCAGCATGGTTGATGCTCATCTCCGTGAGAGTGTCTGATGGTTCCTTCTTGGTTTCACGTTTTCAAATGACTTGAAGTGGAACAACTACATTGAATCATATCTGCATCTACTGCAATTAAATTTGGTTCACTGTGCCGTGCCATAAGGTATTTCTCATCAGAGTCCATCTTACACATCTGCAAATCTACCTTTCATCCTTGCATTGAATACTGTTGCCATATCTGGTCTGGTGCCCCTGCTGTTCATCTAGAGGTTCTCAACAAAATCCAAAGAAAGATCTGTAATCGGGCCTTGAATTGGCTTCTCAACTTCAGACACTTTCTCACAGACGTGATGTGGCTTCCCTCTGTCCTTTCTACAAATATTTTCATGGTTACTGCTCTGATGAGCTTTTTTCCTTGTGCCCCAACTACGTGAATTTGAGCATGCTACTAGGTCGGCATTTAGATCCCACCCTTTTGTTTTTGAAATAGTTAAATGTAACCGCCTTCTACTCCAACAGTTTATTTCCTTGCACTTTCCAACATTGGAACTCATTTCTTCTCATTTACTTCCCTGATAAGTACAATCTTCAAAAATTTAAATGCAATGCCATCTTCTGTTGCCTTGATTCTTGTCCTTTCTTTCTTTCCTCAATCCCTCCTACACCCACTCTTTTCTCCTACTTTCACTTTCCGTAACTCCCTGCATGCTAGTGGCACTCATGCCTTGCTTGAGGTGAAATGCTTAACAAAAACATAAATTAATGTATTATTTTGTATTTTTCTTGATTTTTAAAATGAAACTTTTTAAAAAAAACTTTGAAAAGTTTTAATCGATTTATTGAAAAATAACCTTCAGCAATGAATTTTATTTTAGTTTGCCGGACGAATTTTCCTACAAACAGATATTTTACACCACCAATATTCAGAGAACTTAAAACGATTACTAGGTTACTTATTTTAGTGTATTATTTTACTTATAATTATTGTCATGTGAAGCAAACAATAATCAGTGCATTAAAACAGATTAGATGGGACTAATCGACACTGCCTTTAGCCACCTGTCACTTATTATTACCAACTAAGTATGTTTTGCATTTACACACGTAGCGATGTAGTCGTTCTAAGTAACGCGGTTAATCGAAATAAGTACTACGTAATTTATTGCGAAATGTTTTAGTTACACCCAAAAGTCTGAACAACCAATGAAAGTAATTTGTTTAAAGGGAGGTAACTCTGAAAATACGATAAAAGTTTATTCGTCAGCTGTGTGACTTATTTTTAGTTGAAACTTCCCGCTTCGAAGTCTGTTCGTTCTTAAATGTTATTTCTGAATATTGTACATTACCAAGCCGGCTCTTCTAAGCAAGTGGTACTTTTTATTGTTTAATTAACTGAACAGGTTCGTGTTTGTTTTTCTTTTCTTTTTAAATGTACATTTTTTTTTTCTCGCTTATAAACAGAGCCGGAGATGAATGCATTGAAAACCTCGATAAATCAATTGTTTATTTACAGACTTGGGAAACTGTAAATTTGATATAAACAAAAACAAAATGTTATTAAAAGTGGTTGAAGCTGCAGTAATTATCAAACTGTCATTCGTTTAGAACAGCTGAATAAATATTTTTTTCTTTTCTTTTTCTTTGTTTAATCTACGGTGTTTTGGATCTGGGCCTTGTGAGGATTCATGTGTTGCTGCTTTTATTCAAACATTAAGTAAATTATAAAAATATCAGTTTTAATTTAAAACTTTTAAATGACTCGTTGGGGGCTAAAAAGCACCTAAAATTGCAATGCCGTGTGTGCATATACGTAATGATAACTAACACAGTTTTTAAGATGTGCTCAAAATTACAACAACAGTAACAACACTGATCCTCAACAGAACAGGATCACAACATTTTGATTTTTGATCTTCCGAAGCAGAGCGCTCACTCTCAGTTTTTGTCCTGATAAAAACAAAAGTGCCGATCTATGTGTCCTTCCTTATCGTTTTTTTGGCGGGGTGTATATACTAGTCTTCTTTAAAAAGAAAGTGAAATTAAGTTACCAGACCACTGACGATAAGCATGTCACTTTTCGAAATTTTATTTTTTCTGAAGTAAGTTGTTTTTTTAGTTTCTAACTTAAAGCGATAGGTACCAATAAGTCACTTATAAGTGGCTATAAAATAAAATGAACGAGCCTTTCGAAATGCTAGCAAAAAAAAAAAAAAAAAAAAAATAAATAAAAAATAAAAATCCTTACTCAGTTTTAAAATATTTGCCAAAAAACCGGGAATTTAGCTGATTCAAGCGAAATATTCAGTCCTTATTTATTAAATGAATGAGAATAGGTTTATTTTCTTATTAGGAAACTTAGAACTTTGTGGGTGTATATAAATTTGGTTGGGGTGGGAGAGTCTGTTTCACACCTCTTTTTCGATATGACGTGTGTAGTTTTTCTGTGTAAATATGAAATTGAAATTCATTTCGTTGCCGTTCGTAAGAAAATCTTTTTTTTTTTTTTTTTCCTTATTTAAAAAAAATCAGACCTCGAAGAATCGAAAAATGTAATTGATGTAACCGTATAGGATACAAATCCTATATCATTCCAACAAATAACTGAAAAAATACAAAGTAGATTTGCACACCCGCAAAATCGGATCAAAACGACTAAAAACAGATTTCACAATAAGGTGTGAAATTAATTTTCTGACCAATGAAAGGAGGCGATTTGCTAAACAAAAAAAAAAAAAGATAATGATCCAGTGTGAAAAAAAAGTCAGCTATAAATACAGAGACTCAAGGCAATCACCAGTCAGAAGGGCGCAGAGATCCCACGTTAAACCGGCCTTGTGCCACATGACGCCCTCGTGGGGGGGGGGTGACTGAATATCGTCAGAAGGGTGCAGAGATCATAGAGGACAGAAGACTGACAGTCAGGTCCGTCACTGACTCAACCAGACACTAAGAGCAGAAAGTGGGGTAGGAAAGGAAAACAACAACAACAAATTTACAACTGACTCCAAAACAATTCAACCTGATAAGTACATTTTCCTCTTATCTTTTATTTCTCATTCACACTCTCTTTTTCAACTTAAATTGATTGCCCCTTTTTCCTTTCCACCTACTTGGTGGATACACAAAAACAAAAGAAACAGACATTACTCTACTATTCTGTTGAAAGACAGCGAACACATAGACATTTTTTTGTTCAAATCACATTTGCTTAAACGAACTAAAGCATTAATCTTTTTTACTCTATTCACAAGATATAAAAATATACAAATTTGTTTATTCTGCATGAATGACATTAAATATACAATGTTCTATTTTCTACAAACGTTCCTTATTGTGTTGTCTTTTCTTGAAATTTGCGTTGTATTTTGTGGGCAGGGTATCCCGTATTAAATTCTCCTTTTAATCCGGGTACGCTGTACCCCACAACTGTAACCAGAAAAAAGTGGATGTCCTAAGATGAAAAAACTTTTTATTTAAAAAAAAAAAAATGCCATTTTCAAACTTGAGCCATGACGAGGCACTTTGATCTTGTAGTTTTGGATTTTCTTTTACCAAATAGAATGAACTTTCTTTCATGTGTAGTGAGCAAAGAACCAAAGATTACAAAACATACACTAAAATAATTTTTGTGTATGCGATCTTGTAACTGTAACAACATTGTCACCACTCAAGTTATAAGAAAGTAAAAATAAAATCTAAAGAAATATGGAAGACAAACACTTTTATTAAACTTAGTATAATTAACAAATATGAAAGCATTAAAGGCATTACCGAAACAAAAATATAGCATAAATGGTAAATGTAATTTAACACATCATGGAACTATAAAATCATCTTTTAGCATTTCACTATCAAAATACTCCATGATAAAACAAGTATTTTTAATAATCTTTTTAATGTTTCTGTTGGTTTCAAACCAGTAGGAATGACTGAAAAACATTTTTTCCTAGCCAATAAAATAAGCTGGTTTGTGCTTTCATCTGACTTGGTCTGAATCTATCTTGTCTTGAAGTCAGAACGCTATGTTTGCTTGTCTGAACTTTTGTGCCAACACCAATTCTTAGTTTGAACTTTTTGCCATATTATTATTGATTTGCCTTGTCTATAATGTTTGCTTGCTTTGTTATTTTTTGCCCTGTACCTTTCTTTTTCTTGTTATTGCTTATTGCAAACTTTGTCAATTATGTTTGTTGGACAATTTTGCTACTTGTTTTGCATTTGACCATTGCTACTTACTCCACATTTTTATTGAGAAATTCACAACATATAAAAAAACGAAAAAGATATATTTAATAAGTTATTGCACTGCTATTGTGGGAAAATAAGTATAAAGAAGGAACTAAGGAAGGTACCTGTTAGGTTGAAAACAGGCACTTTCCTCGCTTTCTTTGAAGCAAATTTGCCAATCACAAATACTTGAAACCAAGGACAACAAAAAATATTAATAGATGATTTAGTACTTAATGTTTAAGTAATGAAAGTTATATTACGTTACAAATTGTTTGTTCAGTGGCATTCATGTCACATGTCCTACTTGTCATATCCTAGATATGCCATTTTAAGTTCTTTTTTAATTTCACAATCTTACAAGGTCACAGAGCTTAGATTGGCCAAGCACCCACCAGTCAGTACTGGTTGCCTGGGCATGTGAATATCTTATTTGGGTGTGGCTTATGGCCACATCATGTTGAAACACTAGTTACCATATGATCACTGAAGTTAAGCAATGTAGAGTCTGCTCAGAACCTTGATGGGTGACTTCTTTGGGAATACCAGGTGCTGTAAGCTTGGATGTGCCAGTGGTGTAATGGCTTGGAATTGGAAATCGGAGAGCTGAGTTCCAATTCCCATTTGAATTGTTATATTAACTCGCATACAAATACCCTTGGGGAAAGGTATGAATCTATCTCTTCACCCCCTCAGCTATAGGTTAATTAGTAAGACTTGTATAACTAAACTATTATTATCTCAAAAATTCTACTGATTTAAAAGTATTTTTTGGTTTCAAATAACCTGCAATGGGTTGATAAGCTGTAAAAAAAAAAAAAAAAAAAAAAAATCAATCAACTAATAAAACTTAGACTTTTGTTAAATATAAAGTGATAAAAACAGTGGCTTGTATAGTGTAATGGTTAGTAACCTCAGCTTGAAATTTGTAGCTAAGGAGTTCAATACTAGATGCAAGTACCATAGTTCTTTTGCATGTTCAGCTAGATCTTGAATCCCCATTTACTCTGAAGAAGGCAACATTTTTTTTTTTTTTTTTTTAATATAAGCAATATGAAAATGTTACCATTTTATTATTATTATTATTATTATTATCATCTAGAAAAGCCATATTTCTGTATCATTTAAAAGGATGTACTTCCCAAATTAACATCTTTGTAAATCTCCTGACCTTATATGAACTTGTTCTGGAGAAGGAGTAAATTAGCTCAAATTATTTTTTTTAAAGTCTTTTAATGAATTTACTGACCTGGCATCTCGCCTTCTTTCCTCCTGCCATAATGTAGCTTCCCTGTTCCTTTTCTATAAATATTTTTGTGGTAATTGTTCTGACGAGCTTTCTTCTTTGGTACCTAGACTTTACAAATTTAAGTGCAGCACTAGATTGGCAGCTAGGTCTCGTCATTTTACACATGAAATAGCTAAATGTAACTAAGTTCTATGCTAACAGTTTCTTCTCTCATACTTCTCACCTGTGGAACTCTCTAACAGCTTCTTTTTTGTTTGATCTTCAAAAATTTAAATGCAATGTTGATCATTATCTTCTATCTTATTAATTCTTGTTCTTTTATTGTTCTTTCTCATTAATAATGTTTTCTTTTTCTGATATTATTTCACGCTATGCATCTTAGTGGCTTTATTGCCTTGCTGGGGTGAAATATTAATGCTCTTATTCTTTGCTGTCTCTGCTAGTACTTGCTGTTTGTTTTTGTGTCAAAATCCTGTTCTGACTTCACATGAACTTAGGAATGTTCTTCAGAATAAAAGATAAAAACCCTTACAACCTTTCTTTAGTTTACATTTTGAGAATCACTGGTCTTTCTTGGCTGTCTGGGCAAAGCTTGTCATCATTGTTCATTGCTGATAAATTCAAAAGAAGCAGATCATATCACTATGATACTGTTGTATAGTAATTTAAAGTAGAAAAGTTTTCTTGTGGTAATGAATAGTGCAATACATATAGTCTGTATTGGATACTTTTATTGTTTTTCATTAGAGAAATTTTGCTGATTACTTGTCAGTGATGGAGAGGGTGTAGTAAATGAGAGAAACTCCTATATCTTAGCATCTTGCATGTACATTATCAAGCAAACATTTTTTACAGAAGAGTTTTGGAGGAAGAAACATTTTTAAAATATTTTTATTTTTTTAATTTTTTTTTTTTTTGTGACTTGTGACTATCAATTGATCATGTCAGATATATCATAATTCAGAAACCTGATATATTTCCAACAACTTATGTGACTGTTTATTAATTAGTTCTTTTTTTTTCTTCTTATTCCTTAACCTTAAATTATTCTCCTTCATTTTACACATACATGGGATAAAATAGAAGCAGCTAATACAGACTAAATGCATAAAGGAAAATGATTTAAGGTTAAGAATTAAGAAGATAAAAAAAGAACTCCTAAGTTATAAACAATCACACAGGTTGTTAGGAATATATTGTTTCTAAAATATGATATATTTTACAAGATCAATTGACAGTCACAAAAAAGGGAAGAACAAGATGTGATGGTGCCTACTGGGCAACAATAAAAGTATCCAATAAAGACCATATGCATTGTGCTATTTATTACAAGAAAACTTTTCTCATGGGGAAAAGACAGATTTGGGTATATTGGCCTGAAGATATTTTTTTTTTTTTTCACATAAATGATTGCAGTATAAAATTGTTTTCTTGTTTTAAGTTAAAAAGGGTAGATTTAAAACTAACTGTATATAATACTAAGACTCTAATCTTGTATGTGCTCTTGAGATACAGCTTAAAAAATACATAATACCTCAACCAATTGAGGAGAATATTGTATCTTGATTCCTGCTGAGCACAGTGCCAAATTAAAATTACATGGGTTCTTGCACTACAGCCATTTTTCTGTTTTTACAGTTTTCTTAAAGGGAGATTCAGTATTGTTTTTTGATACACATTCTTATATCAATCCGCGGATATAAACTAACACTTGTATATTATATTCCAACTATTATGTGTGTGCAAAATAATACATTCATAATACATTATAACAACATTATTAAATAAGTTTAAATATGCATAACACAACATTATATTTATACAATTCACTACATTAGAACTTTTTTTTATAAACAACTACTTGAAAGATGAAGAGGCTGTATGTGTCCCATGACTTAATGGTAGATAAATAGATGTAAGCTGGTTGGTTGCTGCTGCTACATATTTCAAAATAAATGTGAGGACAGAACAAGTATGTATAATAAAATATTATAATGTATAATAAAAAAATATACTTCTTATTTTGTAAAAGACTACACCTGTTTTAAGCTATTACTCCAAATTTTCATGCAATGTATTAACTATGAAGTCCCGTGGAACAATAAAACTTCTTTTAAAGTCTTTGGTATTAATTATTCATTTTGCATTCAAAGTACATTTTCTGGAAGGAATTTCTCTTTTAATGTAAGAAAAGTAAAATACATATTGACATTGTAAAATAATTTATTCTCATGCTTTCAGTCTGGATATATTTGAATTAAGGTGTTTTTTGGTGCTTTTCATTCATTTTTAGGACAGAAAATCTTTTCATTAATTAATAAAAATATATTTTATTATTTGAAAAAAGACTACATCTGTTTTAAACTATGACTCTAAATTTTCATGCAATGTTTTAACTATGAAGTCCTGTGGAACAATAAACCTTCTTTTGCTGTCTTTTAATACAAATTAAAATGTGTAATTAATAATAAAATTTATAATATTATCTCATCATTTTGTATCGTGAACTGCTTTCAAAAGAAACCAATGTTTTTTTTTTTGGGGGGGTCTAGTATGATTCTAATTCAAGTCTTTGATATTTTCTTTACCATAAAACTCAACCATTGCTTTTTTTCCATGTTGTCCCTCCCATCCTTGTGTTCTTATAAGCAAAATAAGCTCAGTTTTATAGAGACTTTTTTAATAATACCATAATATTTTAAAATTATGTTCTATTTTATTTATTTTTATAATGATTTTCATGTCTCAACTTGTCAATAATAAAAGTGTTTATAATCAATTTTAACTGTCTTCTCTATCTACAGAAGGTCAGTAAGAATGAAGAAAAAACAGGAATTTCCAAAGTGAGGAAATTTTAACATGTATTTTAACTCTGTGCATGTGAATTAATTGAACTATTTCACTATTTTTTAATCTTTTCAGTTTTTTTTTTTTTTTTTTTTTTTAAATAAATTAGTTGCTTTTTAACTAAATAGAATAGAAATTTAATTTTAAGATTTGTATCATCCCAGCATCAGCCCCACAAAGAAACTTGTCCCAAAACTAATTTTCGGTTCTCTTCAGGACAATGGGATAATGTTAATTTCCAGTCCTTGGTCTTATTACAGTGTTACATAGATTGACGCATAGGAAAAATCAAAAACAAATATATATTTAAATAAGTAGATCAATAGGTATGAAAAGCCAGAAACAGATTGAGAGAAAGAGAAATAAAAATGAATAATTTAAAAGCTGAAAGAAAAAATTCAATTATCAAACATTGATTATCAGGTTAAAAATGACAAATGTTTACAAAAAAATTAAACTATGAACAGATAGACTGATCAATCCAGTCATTAATTGGCAGACAGACTTAGGAAATATTTACAGACGTTTCCTCCCAAATCTGAATTTCTAGCAAACATGGCCAGATATCCTTAATTGTTTATTGAAGTTTCAAAAGAAATCATACTTCACTGAAATTCTAAAGCATTTCAACTTGATTACATCTTTTATGGCCACATGATACACTGTTGTTTTTTTTTTGTTTTTTTTTTATTTTTTTAAAGATTTAATTACATACTCGAACAATTATTATTTACCTACCATCTGTTACCTGAATTGTACTTATATCAACTACTTACCTGAAATTCCTAACTCTACTACCTACTGTTCCAATTCATTTATTGATGAAATCACATTAAGGATTGGAAAAATCTCATTAGAAACAATGTTCAACTGTTATGTAATATCAGTCCTTCTCCATGGCAGTGAATGCTGGGCACTTTCCTCACAGGTGAGGTAGAGATTTGAGGCAACAATGTAATTTTCTAGAAGAATGCTGAGAATAACATAGATGGAACATGTGAGTAATGAGGAAGTTTTAAGGAAAATGGGAATGGAAAGAACACTTGCTTAGGATCAGAAAGAAACAATTGAAATTTTTGGGATACAATGAGGAAAGAGGGCTTGGAAAATTTGACACTCACAATATATATTGAACATAAGTGGAACAGATAGAAACAGTAAGGAACTTACCTAACAAGTTTGTGTAAATGAATGACAGAACAGAGTGGGAATGATAGTGATTTTCCAAGCATAGCTTAGATGTGGCACAAGGCCAAAAGTATGGGTCACTCAGTGAGGGTCAAACTCACTAGTCAGTCGTAATTGTTCTAGCGAGACAAGCTTGTTAACCATTACACCGTCTCGAGGTGCCCAGAGTGGGAATGATAGTAAGAAAACAAATGTTACTAATCCAGCAATAGTTACCTATTATATTTATTTGGTTATTTCCTGCCATGTAGATATTCATTGGACATAAATATACTCTATACAATAGACTACTAGTGTAATATTTACTTTGAATATAAATATACCATGCACATAACTTAAAAACCTGATATGCTTGTCAGTTCTGGGTGCAAATTTAGTCTTGTACAGTATTATTTCTCTCGGTGGTAAACAAGGAATTTTTCTGATGATTCCCAATGTAATTAATATCAGACAAGTTCTCCATAATTGGGCATAATGCAAAATCTTGATGTGTTAGAACAATTACCTGTATGGAATCAAAATAAACATAATCAAGTCAAAAACATGCACTTAAAGTGCAGATTTTAGATGTGGAGCAAAAGCTTTGTATTTTATACCATGTCTAAAATACCAGGCAACAAAGATTTTGCTGCCCAACCTTTTTTTTTTTTTTTTTTTTTTAATATATTTATGATACTGGACAAAGATTTTGTTCTAAGAGCAAAATCTTTGTTGCCTAGTATCATTGAAAAATAAATTCTTGTATAACAAAGTTACACTTTCTTTAAAGTGCCTGAGATACCTTTTAGTTAGCTTGGAGCTGTGAAATAAGCTATATTCATTAATGAAAAAATTCATGTAAATGAAAAATAATGGACAGGAAGAAAAAGTAAAAACTTCAAATAAAAATAGTAAATATTTTTGTTTCGTTTTGTTATAAAACGCAGTGTGATGATCTGGTTTAGTGACTGAAGTACAATATTTCTTGGTAAAATCAGAAATTGTACCATTAAGAATTAATTCAAAAGCAAAATATTGATAATATTTCTGGATCTTTGGAAGGGATTGTTTGTTTAAAATACTATTCTCCATAAATACTATCAAATACTTTAGTCTCAAAACTGACCGATACAGTAATAGAAAAAAACCATCTGGTATTAGGAACTACTGAGATCAGGATTGTCAACCTTCTGTCTTCATTGTTCAAAATCTCCAAGACAAACTAGTGAGTCCCTGCAATGAAAGATGAAAAGATAGTAACAGACACAGCAGACTTTTGGCGAGAAGATTTTAGTTCCTATGTTTAAAGCGAACAGACGGTCATAGAGACTTGCTTCACCACTGAAACAAGTATCGTAAAGAAGTAGAGAAAGAAAAAAAAAATTTCTATTTTTGATTGTTATTAATAAATTCTTTGAAGATTTATTGGCATTTGCTGTTAATAAAACATTTTTCTACAGAAAAATTTTTCTTTTAACCTTTTCTTGTCTGACAAGATGAAATCAAAATACCACAGTTAAAGGTAGTTTTTTTTTACTTTCAGGTAAACAAAATACAATGAACTTTTAAAGGTTGACTAGATGACACAACTTAGTAACTCCCTTTAAACTGGCTCTATATGCAATCTGTCTTGCACCTTTATGAGAGTACTATTCATCCATGCACTTAATATTGCTTCTGCTATGTGCTATGTATCTAGAGATTTTTAACAGAATCCAAAGAATATGCAATGTCATCAGTCTTGATGTGGCATCTCACCTCCAGTCACTCACCTATCACCAGAGCATAGCTTCTCGGTGCTTTTTTTTTTTTTTTTTTTTTTTTTAAATAAATACTTTCTTGGTAATTGTTCTGATGAGCTTTCCTCTTTGATGATTCAATTTCCTAAATTTAAGTGCAGTACTAGAATGTCAGCTAGGTTTCTTTATTTTACTGTTCAGATTGCTAAGTGTAAATGCAAATTCTATGCTAACGATTTCTCCTATTGTAATTCTCAATCATGGCATTTGACTTTTGCTTTCCTGTCAAACTATGATCTTCAAAAATTTAAATTTAATGTCAGTCATCATCTTCTGTCTCCTTGAATTCTGGTCTTTTAATGTCCCAATGCTGCTGCTTTTTGGTTTCTTTCACTCTCTCTAACCCCCTTTTATTGCCTCGCATACGGCAAAATGATTTAAATGGTACTATGGACCAAGAGAGGTGTTACAGTTGTATAATAAAATTTAATAATCAAGGAAGCATAACATAAAAACTCGTACTTAAATAGAGGTGGATAAATTAAAGATTGAAATAAAAAAGAAATGACTCTTTATTTATGAGATCTGTAGAATTCTTCTATTTTTTTTTTTTTTTATCCTTGTCAAAATGGCAACAGAAAGAACATTCCTATTCCATTTGGGAAGATATAGCTGAAATTTATTGGACACACTACTTGATAAGAAACTGAGTATTGTTAATACATGATCCAAAAATGTTGAATCAAATAATTTCTATCTTTTACTTGAGAGCTCATCTATCATAGTTGTTGCCTTAACCAGTTAGGCAATAAGATTTTTTGTTATTTGTGATTTTTACTATTTATTTGGTTACTTTGTTGCCCATGACAGATGATTAGGGCTACAGCCACACTAGTGTATACTAAAGGTGCCTTGTCATGTTAGATATGAATAGCACTTAGTTACAAGAATTTTGATAGCTGTTTAGTTAAGGTGGTATTCCTGAATTATGGCAGGTGGATTTAAGTCTTGTCTGAACCTTCTTTATTTCCCGCAGTTTATTTTAAGTGTTAAAGAAATGATCACCTAAGATAGTAGCAAGCTCTCAGTGTTCTAAAAATTTCAAATTCCATGTTCTTCTGTGACAGTAATTTCAATTTTCCTTGTTTCAAAATCATAAAACATGTGAAAAACAGAGACTTGTGTGTAAACAGTAAAGTATACGAATATAAAGCCTATTTATAGAGGCATGTTTTATTTTATTTTTTTGTGCTTCAGTGATTTCTGATGATCCACATGTGTGTCCCTCTGAGTCCTATCTATGGTGTGCTGACAAAAACTGCAAAATAATTTATTGCCATCATGATAAAAATCATCACAGCTGGCTCTTCAGCTCTGTATTTTGCTGAAAATGTGCACCCACCAAGTTTGCTAGCTTTTTGTTTACTCATTGTGAAAGATAATCAAACCAACATTTAAAAATCTAATTTAATTACTATACAAACAACAACATTATTTTTATTACCCTTGATGTTGCATGCTAATATCACATGTGGGTATTTGCCCTGTAGTGACAGTTTGGCATGGTTAATATCATGAATTAGGTTATGATGCTTGTGCAATACTAGAAAATACCCCATATTATAGAATTACATGTTGCAGCAATATAGGTCGTAGTGTTTGTGCATAAGTGAGTGACTTCACTATGTATTGTAAATTTATACAAAGTAATGATTCTGTCAAGTTCCAGCTTAGGAATTTTATGTTTTACCATTGGAATATTTTATTTTTTAGTAGCAAAAATCCCATTTTCCAGGATTTCCATTCTCTGTTATTTCTGTGTCTTTTTTTTCCTTCTGTATCACAGAACTTGCCACTCTAACCTAAAAGGAAAAAGAAAACTATATCGAGGTAAAATGAGACAAATTAATTGTATTTGTGAAAATATTTGATCTGAAAAACAACTTGAGATTAGCAAATGCAACTTCTGTTTTTTTCATTTATTCATATCATTAATTCATTATTTTTTTTTTTTTTTTTACTGTTTTCAGTTTTCATCCAAGATGTGGCAGATGTTAAATATTTATTTATGGTTGGGAAGTTTGACATTTGTCTCATCCCTTGCAGCAAAAAGACCAAATATTGTTGTCATTATTGCTGATGATCTGGTAAGTCAGTCATTTATAGATTGTTTATTTACAAGAATCATTCTATATTTACAACATTCTAAAAACTAATACAATTGTATTAATTATCACTTACCAATTTATAAAGAAATAAATATGAAAGCAATTTTTTTATTCATAAATTTATAAACATTTACTAAATTATTAAAATATGTGAACCAACTATAAAAAAAAATCCTTATTATTTACCATTTTATAAAGTTTGAATCAATTGGCAATTAACTGATGTTTTGCCAACAATTTCAATAAACAATATAATAGTGTTTATTATTTTTGTTTTCACTTCTCAAGAACAAAGGAAATGTATGAATTCACTTTCATATGTTTAGGTTTTATTTCAATTCTAATAATTGCTTTTTAAAACAATAAGCATTGGTAGTGGAGGTAGTTAAAATAATAGCAGTGACAATGGAAGAAACCATCCTTTTCACATACTGGGCATAAAGGTTCAAGTTTTTTTTTTTTTTTCTTCCTAAAAAATGGATACTTGTTGAATGATTGACAACTAAATTGACTCACTAAGCTGCATTTCAGCTGGCACAAGGAAGATGGTTAGCAACCTGGTAGGATGAAAAACAAAACCTATTGAAGAATAGAAGAATTCTCAATGAGTCAACGCTCAGCTAACTAAAGTTGGTGCCTCAATAAAAACACTGTGGAGACGGCAACAGAAAAACACTACATATCCCAAGAAGAATCATGACAACAAACAATATAAATATTACAGATAACGGCATAATGGAGGCTATGTCCACTGGAGGTAACTCCCTGTCTGGTAAGGGAAAACATGTGACAGGTGTCACTTGATCATTATCCAGTAGTTGTTCACTAAATTGATATAAAGAATAACAGCATAAAGTGGGTTTAGTTCCTTGGGAACAGCTCCTCACCTGGTAAGGATAGATATAAGCAACAGGTGTCACCTGATGATTATCCAGCGATTGTTCTCTAAATTAATATAAAGAATAACAGTGTAAAATAGGTTTACTTCCTTGGAAATAGCTGGTAATTATAGACATAAGCAACAAATGTTATCTGATTGTTATCCAGCAACTGTTTACAACAAACTAAAATAGTAATTGAGACCTGGAATGTAAGTATGCTATATCAATGTGACTAGCTTATATGCTTCAAACAAAAGATAAATAGATTAAATATCAGCATTCTAGGCATTCTAGGTGGGCAAGTAATGGGGACTTCATAAGCAACACACAGAAGATAATACATGTAGGCAGGGAGAAAAATAAGAGGCGCAGGGTTAATATTAGAGAATATCATGAAGAAATGTGTTCTGGAATATTGTCAAATTTCAGAATCTTGTCAGTTAAATTCAAAGGGAAGCCATTTAACATAACAATGATTGTTGTATCTACACCAAGAGTGCAGAGGAGGAAATTGATAATTTTGTCAAGTTGCTTGACAATACCATGGCCCTATGTAAATTGCAAGAAATCATTATTATCATGGGAGACCTGCATGCTAAGGCAGGAAAAGATGACTATGAAATAGTTGGCAGCTTTGAACTAGGCAATCCCAGCATGGGGAACCTTTGGAAAGTGCCTGAAAACTATACCACGGGTTGACCCAAATCTTGTGAGTGAAATTGGGTGGACACCTTTGGGGTCTGTCGATAGCTGTGCTAGTACAGTCACAAGTCATTGTGACCGAGGGTTTGAGTGTGCTGGCCTTGTTCAGATTGTTGATCACGCTAGATAACACGCTCTCTCCCAGAAACTGTAAGTAAGGTCTGCTCAGCACAGTTGCAGTATAAACCACAGGTGGGGTCGGTTGAACAAACACAAATGTGCCTGAGCGAGCATCTGCAATAGGGATTGGCTAGCTGGCCTAATAGATGGATGTCCTCAAATACGAGTGGCCAGCTATTATTACCTGACTAATAAATATTTTTTATGAGTATGTAAAATTTTGTTTTTAATTTTCTAATTGGGCACACATTTTTGAATTGTTGTCATTATTATTTTATTTTTTTTAAAATCACACTTAAAGAATTCCTGATTTATATTTAGGGATGGGATGATGTCAGTTTTCATGGCTCCAATGAAATTCCAACGCCTAATATTGATTCCCTTGCTTATGATGGAATCATTTTAAACAATTATTATGTGTCACCAATTTGTACACCAACTCGAAGTGCCTTAATGACTGGACGACATCCAATACACACAGGTAAGTACGTATCAGGCAATTAAAGTTTGTGCTGGTTTCCTTCAATTAAATCTCGAACCACATTGATTTTTTTTTTTTTTTTTTTTCTTTTGCTTCACAAACCGTTGTTGATGATCTGCCAATCTGTTCTTCATTTTCAACTCTTGTCCTTTTCTAAATTGTTCATATTTTTTATTTTTCAAGAGAATTATCTTCTAAAAAATTTTTTTCATTATTCATTTTCCACAGCTCATCAACCCTATGCAGGTTATTTAAAGCCAGAAAATATGTTCTTGTCCATTGTTGATATGTATGCAACAGTTTTTGGTATCAAATGAGTAGAAAGTCTGCTCAACTGTAAAATTTTGTGAGTTTAACCATCTGAGATGTCTACTGTGTTAGATATATTTCTGTCAGTCATCGGTCACTTTTTGATTAAATCTTGAAAATCCCTTCTTTTTTTTTTTTTTTTTCCGCAAACTGATCTTCTGCCAGTCTGTTCATAATATTTAACTCTGTGTTGTCTTTTTTTTTTTTTTTTTTTTGAAAAAAAAAAAAGTTATCCATTTCTAAATTGCTAATGTTTTTTTTCCTTTTTTTTTTTTTTAAAAATTAGCTCCATAAACTTTTCTCAAATCATCAATAATGTTCATGGTTTTTCAACCAAGTTTTACTATAAATTGGATTTTAGTTCTTGTTTCAGTTATGACAGGATTCATGCTGCCCTAAAAAGGGTCCTTTTTTAAAAAGGCATAAACTCCAATCTATTACCTTGAAATACTTCCACTTCATATAGGTTATAGCATGTTAAGGCACTCAATACAGTCTGGACTTAATAGGATTAGTGTATATAAATAATAAAATGCACTAATATTTCTTTAATTTTAATCTAATATTTTTTCTTTTACCCACAAATTTTTTAATCTATTTATTTTCAGTTTTATTTGTGGATTAAGGATATATGAGTACTATTTGAGTTTTCTTTTTAAGATAATCTAAATTGTATTTAACATTATATTTTAAGAATTATTATTAAAAAAAATTTTATTTAAAAAAATATTTATTTAAAATAAAAAAAAGAAAGCACAAGGTAAATTAAAGTCAAATTGATGGAATGGGAACAGACAAATTATACTGTATTGAAATAGACATGTATGAAATGAAAATAAATTTGCTGTTCCATAAGAAACTGAAAAGATTGGAAAATACCAAGATCTGGCTAGAGAGTTGAACAAGCTATGGAACCTGACTGTTGAAGTAATTCTTGTAGTAATGGGTGCACTCGGAACACCACTTAGAAAATTGAAAAAGTGCTTAGGGAGAATTGGAATTGAGACCAAGAAAACTCCTCATTTACTCTGCTAGGATTTGCTGAAAAGTTCTTGAGTTGTAAGGAGTTTTGTTGGTACTATGCCCCAAGAACAGAATTTCCATTGACCACTTCAATATGCAACAACATAATAATGAAGAGTGTATTGACTAGTGTTGTGATAAAAAAAGCAACAATAATAAGATGATGCAAATATAGTAATAACATAAGAGTAACAATGAAGAGAGTATAAACGTAAAGTGTTTATGATAAACAACAATAAGATGAAATAAAACTAATAATCAATCTCATATTAACAATATGTATTTATATATTTCCTGTCCCATCTATAACAGGTAAGGGAGGTAAATCAACTTAAATTAGTAAATTTATGAGTGATTACTTCTATTCATTTTAATAATCTGTACAAATAAAATATCTGCATTTAGACAAAATTAGTTTCCAAGTAAAATGAACTGTTTAATTAATCCATTCCTTTACTCTTACATTTCTTAGATTAGAGTTTTATTTGTTGAAGCTTTTCATGTGAGGCACTCAGATACCTTTGTCTATCAAATGATCATTTATGCTTCAACTTGGTCTTGAAACAAGCTTTTATGTTGTCTTTGTTGTTCTGTTGCTAAATTTTTCTTCCACTAGATATTTCCATTTCACTGTTATATTTAACATATAAAAATTTTAACATGAAAAGATCTCACAAAAAGCAAGATATATACCAGAAGTAATCAATGAATCATAGATACCATTGAATGTCTAAAAATATAAAGGGAATGGATTAATTAAACAGTTCATTAGCCTCTATTTCAGTTGTGAATTCTTATATATCAGCTCTATTGAATCACAATCAAGGCGATCTTTATATCAAGCCTCTACACCATGTTTAAACTAGTGAGCAATAGTTAACATGTGATAGTACATTGCTGGAATTGGATGGATTAAGATATATATATATATATATATATATATATATATATATATTTTTTTTTTTTTTTTTTAATGTAAGTATATTTATTTATTTTATTTGAACTTGCATATTTCATCTTTAAAAAATTTTTTTCATGTAAAATTCACAAGTGTCAAAGAATTCATAAAGTTAATTTAAATTTAATATTTTTCCTGTTATTGTTCTTCAACAATGAACATATTAAGTATAAAATTAATTTTTTATGAATATTTTTTTTTTTTTTAACAGAAAAATTTTATTTTTATTTTTTTTAAGTACAGGATTATTAAAAAAGAATGAACCAATTTCATTATGCAATATTTTAATAAGGAAAAGCAATAGAAAACTCGAGCCAAGTCACAAGTATTTATTCACAATCAACTTTTATTTCCTGTTTTACAAGTGGTCAATGTGGCCACCACCTGTAGCACGGGCAACATCAATGCAATAAGAGAATTCCTCTTAGGTGCGTATCATCGTCATCAAGGTTAGTGGGTTGTGGTGAAACATAAACACGATCTTTTCACACATGATGAGGTCTGGGGATCTCACAGGCCAAGCACAAAGTGCAAGTTCTTGCTAAGTACCTGAATGAGGCATAGTTTGTAAGGTTTCAAATGTAGATGTCTTCTTAGTACATACCCAATAGTGGGTTGAGAGATTGCAAGCTCATGGTTAGCTTGGTTTGTGGACTTCCATGGACTTCCCACAAACGTAGCACAGATTCTTGCCACTTGTTCCTTTGACACTCATAGTCGTCCTGGACTTTTTTCTTTACACAGACAGCCACTCTCTTGAAACTGTTTAAATCACCATTGAATGTTTTTAGGAGAGCTTAGATTAATGTAGAATTGCCTTTGAAAAGCATGCTGCATGACAACTGTATTTTTTTTCAAGAATGCAGAACACCTTTTGCTAAGGACTTGCCATTCTGGGGATAAACAAACTAGAGATACGACGTGACTACAGCGCCCCCTGTGGCAGCCGTTCATAACTTAGGAAACTCCTCTTTCAAATGGTCACTCACTCATTCCATGATCATACTTGAGAAGTGAAGCAATGCATCATTAAATTGGTTTATTCTTTTTTAATAACCCTGTATGTTGAATTTTTCTGTCTGTAAATAAATAGAAGACATTAAAAATGTAATGTTTTTCACTGAGAAATTAATGAAAAATGACACTTTGTGCATTTGAAAGACAATTTAATATTTTTTGTATGATATTATTTTTCGTAACAAACCTATTGATTTCAAAAAAATAATTATTTAGGTATTTTTAAAAAATGTATGTTGAATTTTGACTAGTGTTGTTAAAAAATGTAAAACAAAATTAGCCAGTTCAATGTTTTTTAAAAAATATATTGTAAAAATATTAAACTGGTTAATTTTGTTTAAATAATTGTATTTTATGGGGGAGGAGGTGATCGAATCACACATCCCATAAAATACGACTATCCAAAAATTTTAATAAGAGATTTTCAGTTTACTATGTAACTTCAACATAAAACAGACCCTAACCAGTAAAACAATTTGGAAATCCTTTGGAACCACATAATTCCTTATAGACAATGGAAAGTAACATAAGATGACAAATTCCCACATTCATACAAACTTTAAATTCTTAATTCTGAATCTCAAACCCTTCAGACCTTAAGGTTCATACACTTTTTAGAAGCACCTTGTAATTTTTATAAAAATAATAGTTTCAGTTAATATTTTTAAATATCAGTACCCCAAAATTATTCTTAAAATGGTCAAAAAGTACTGTGTAAGTTGTTGTGGTAACTATGATTACGGTTTATGTATTTTGTCTTCGCCAAGATCAGAAGGAATGAGAAAGATGGTTAAAGGCAATACCACAAGACAAGACATTGTTGTTTGTGGATGACATTTTCCATCTGATTATGAAACAGTGGTTATTACAAGAAAAGTGTGACCCAGAAATCCACCATTAATATTTAATCATTTACCATTGGTGTATTACTTAGTCCTCAACCAAAACTAACAAATAAAACTTCTGCTTATGTATGAAATGGGCAAAATGATGAGTTGGCACAGTTTCTAAAGACAAAATCCTCACTCTTGAAAATTTGTATCAGAATATTGATCAATAGGATTTTGTGTCAGCAGTTACATGATCTAGATCAAACAATCAGCTGTTCATCCAATCTGTTTATTTTATTTTATTTTTTTTCACTGGAAATATTCCAATGTTTTTAATTAAAATTTTTGAGAACTTGAGATTTGAATGTTACCATGCTGTTATTTTATTTTTTTTTTTTTTTTTAACTGTTTCACCCCTAGCAAGGCGGGAAGCCACTAGGATGCAAGGGGTTACAGAAGATTTGGAGCAAGATCAGATAGGAGTGATAGAGGAAAGAATGAGGAGAAGGATAGTGGATAGATCAAGGCAACTGGAGATGTCAATTGACATTACATTTGAATAGTTGGAGATTATAGCTCTCAGGGAAACTGGAATAGGGAAGGGAGTTCCACAGGCGAGATGTGTGAGACATGAAGCTATTGGAGTAGAAGAGACGGCTACATTTAGTAGTTTTGACAGTGAAAGGGTGAGAGCGGAATGCCAGCCTTGTAGGGTGCTTGAATTCATGAAGTTCGGGAACCAGCGAATGCAGCTCCTTGGAGCAATTACCATGAAAGTATTTGTAAAAAAAGACAGAGAGAGGCAACGGTGCGTCTGTGAGAGAGCGACTGTAGACGAGATATACAACAATTTTTTTTTTTTTTTGTTTTAATATATTTATTGTCAAATATCAGTGTTTCAGCACTGGTCACAAATCAATGAAGCAATTTGTTATCTTATTAACTTAAAAATTAATAAGAAAAAGAAAATTAAAAGAGCATATTAATGTTATGTCACCACAAAAGAATGGGACAAAATATTATGATTCTGATATTTTTATCAGGGCAGTCGAATATTTTGTTACATCTTGGTCATTATATAAAAGACTTCAGGATGATTTTAAGTTACCCAGTATGAGAACATTACCAGCTTTTACATCAGAAGTTTCACAATTAGATTAATTTTCTTGGTGATATTTTAGTGGAATCTCTGAAAACCAGGAAAAAGTGTATTCATTTAATTGATGAAATGTTTACCATAGTTGCTCTACACAATATCATGGAGGAAACTTGTTTGGTTGAAAATGTTGAGGGATTAAGAAAAGCATCATGGTAAAATGTTTAAATGGAGGACAAAAAATTTTTACTTGTTGCAAAATTAGAAGCAACTTTTTTATATGAAAAGATTTTAAATATTGTTGATACTGTCAAGTAATTTTAATTGTATGTGACAATAACAGGACCCATTAATCTGTTTTTTTTCCAAAAATTTGACATTGTTTTTAATAATCCTTGGATAACTAAAAATGGCTTGTACTTTTTGATTATATTCACATTTTTAAAAAAAATATTCAGAATAATTTGATTACTGAACCTACTTCTGAATGATTGTTTTATTCTGAAGGTAAAGAGATGACAGCAAAATGGAAAATTTTAAAAGGTCTTGAGTAGGAAAAAAAAAACAATTTGTTAAGCTGTCATAACTAACTGATGCAGCAGTTTACCTAAAACCTATTGAGAGACTAAAAGTTTCTTTTTTGTGATCAAACTGTAGCTGCTATTAAAACACACTCATTATTAAATGGGGAGGATACGGCAGAAACAGTTAATTTCATTGAAAAAGTTTTTAAATTTTGGAAAAATGCCTGTGTCAAAGAAATATATGGTGACACTAAGAAATCAACTGAAAAAGGTGATATCAGATTTAGATGATGAACATTTGTTATTTCTTTCTAATTCTGAAAAAATGACAAGAATGGGAGGAAAATAAGGAAAAAGAATGAAATCATTAACAAGAGATACTAGTTTAGCCATTTGAACATACAATACAATGGTTTAATCGATGTTTGTAGATATTTGCTAAGTAGTGAGTTTAATTTTGTTATGCTTGGTGAATTTACCACAGACTATTTAGTAAATTAAGAGAAAGTTCTGGAGTTGCATATTTTATAATAGTTCAAAATGTTATTAAAAAATTTCATATTGAAAAAACTAAATTACTTCTAAAATTAAATGTTGACGTCAAAGAATACAACGTTGATCAAGGTCATAATGGCTCAAAATGTGGACATTTGCTAAATGAAATGGGAGCCCAAATATTTGACTGATTTGTATTACTTAATTATTACTACTTAAATTAAATATTGATGTAAAAAAAAAAAAAAAATACAAATTTGATCCAGGTCATAACTGTTCAAAATGTGGACAAAATGGGATGCCAAATATTTAACAATTTACCAAACTTTGAAATGAGGATCCTGAAAGCTAGTAAAATGTTACTTTTGTATATAGCAGGCTATGTCATAAATAAAGATTGAAAATTTTTGAAAGAAATAGATTGTGGTAATTTTAAAATTCCACTGGATACCACAGGGATACCAAACATTTTTTATTTTCAATTTTCTCTCTTTTTACATATATTTAATTGGTTAACACCCCAAATTATACTGTTAATAATGCGTTCTTGTTAATGTAAATTAATTTTAATTTTTAAAACTATACTGATAATATCTAATATTGTATCATAGAGAAATAAGTATTTTCAGTGAAACAAATTGTAAATGTAAGAAAAATCAAATTTTGTAAAGATTATCAAAATTATTGTTTCTCTGAAATTCACATTTTTGTAAAGCATTTTTAGGTTTTGTTTATACATAATTTTGTAAAATTCTGAAATTGCTTTCTGATTTTATTATGCAATTATATTTTCTGTATTCAATTGGCAAAAACAAATTAACTCATTATTTTTGCAATGTCATCTAAAAATGTTTATGGTGAATAAAGTGATTTTTGTGCATTTAGTTGTTTTATGGTATTTCTGTACATTTGCATTTATGGAAATAAGTCAATAATTGTAAGATGCTTCATATTATATATAGTTGCTAATTAACCAATTACTGGACATTACTAACAAATTCCTTATTAAAAATGTTTTCAGTAATTGTTATTTAGTAGTAATTTACATCTCCACAGGTCCTCTCTCAGTCGCATGGTTGTTAGGCCCAGGTATAAGGATCACCTTGATTGAAATACATTGTTTCAAGACTTTTGGGCAATTGCATTGCACTATTAAAAATTTCTCCACAATTGCTATCATTTGTTTATGGCACAGGTACACTAGTAATAGTTATAATGAAGAGCATATTGACTTAGTGTTGTGATAAAAAGCAACAATAACATTCTATAAAAATATATGTGCAAATTTCAGTTCCCCCACTCTGACTGGCAAATTGCTTCATCAGATATCAAAAAATATCCACTTCTAGTCAAATAATCTAACTCTTATAGTTAATCCTTAAACATTTCATTTGAATTACACTAAAAAAAATGACTGGATAGGGATAGAACATTTGACAATAAACCCAACTGTTGGAAACTCCCCTGACAAAGCCTTTTGTGAAATATGAATAATTCTTCATTTAATGATAACAATTCATCTCAGAAAAGCAGACACCTGCAGAGTTGAATTATAGAACATGTGAAAAACATATTCTGATTTGTTTGTATTTACTTGTATTATTAAATTTTAATAAATAATTGTCTTTTTTTTTTTTTAAATTCACTTTACTTCCAGGCATGCAACATGGAGTCCTTGTTGGCGCAGCTCCATACGGCTTACCTTTAAATGAGACTTTAATGCCTCAGTATTTCAACAAACTTGGATATTCCTCCCACATCATTGGAAAGGCAAGAGATTTCAGTTGATTTGTAAGAATGTGAAGGATGAACAATGTTTCTGGTTATGATAATGAATGTTTAAAACAAAGCAATATGTTAAATGAGTGGAATTTTAGACCTTACCAAGTTTTATTTTGCAATGGTTGAGATTGCAAATGAAGAGAGAAAAGGTGTTAAATTAAAGTTTTGATATGACATAGTTTTGTTAATTATTTAAATGAATATCCTGATTTATGTTGTTTTTAATTATCATTTTTTTCTGGTGTGTTCCCTTTTCTTTCTAAAACCATGTCACATCCACAATTCATCAAGTACTTTTAAGCAGAATGATTTTCTTCATTTTTTGTTTATATTCACTGTTAATCATAATTACCTTTTTTATGATGTAAATAAACATTTGAGTACAAAAATGTTTACCATTGGGACACTATGGACATCCATGTAAAGAAGATTTGATTTTATTGCAATTTCAAGTGTTTCTGCTTTATGATTCTTTAGAATTAAATGAATGATTCTTTAGAATTTTCTAAGAGGCATCCACTTTCACCAAAGGGGAATGGAGGCATAAAGGAGTGGATGGTGGCTTTTTAGACCAAAGGATAAAAAAAAAAAACTGACATAAAGTGTATCCAGTTGCTAGTCTACATTAACAAAAATGCTTGACATCAGAGAGTGAGTTCTAGTCCACTATTGGTAGGAGATGGACTTGTTTATCACATGGTTCCAATGCTACTTATTCATATTGCCAGCCACACATTATAGATGAACAGCAGGTAGTAGGATGGATGGGCTGAACTGTTAGACTGACATAGGAGAAGTTGTCCCAAATGTTGCCTACCTACCCACCTGAATGAAAAGGCGGATCACTGAATAAAAATATTTTATAATATGGGGAATAGGGTTATTTCTCAATGTGGTATTTGTCATTCATCTTGTTACCTTGTGAACGTGCAGACTGATGAGAATGTAATGCAACATGGTGAAATCATTGGCCAGTCAGTGGAAAGCTTGGGTGAGGGTCCTGTATGTTTACATATTATTTGATGCTTCCTTTATTTAAATATATATAGTATTATGGAGTTATCTTTTGTTGGATATGATGCATGATGCAACCTTGGGTGATCATGTCTCTTTTTGCTTCATGATTGACTTGGCAGAATTCCCACAATAGGTCACCATTATTTTCTGTGGTAGACAGGTTGCAAAATAAGGTTATCATACCCAGTCTGTCCTATTATTTAACCTACAGTGAGAGGAGAAGAGATGGATTCCTATCTTTCCCAAACTTATTTGCATGTAAGTGACTGGAATGCACTTGACTGGAATTATAACTAGGTTCTCCGATTTCTCAGTTGTTATCCATCACATCATCTGCACATTCTAACTTACAGCACCTGATATTCCCAAGTGATCACTCATCTAGATACTGACCAGGCTCAACATTGCTTAACTTCAATGATTGACTGAGAATTGGTGTTTCAGCATGATGTATGTTATGCTGAAACACCAGTTCTCAGTCAATATATATATGTTATACTGGATATAAATACTAGTAGTCTTTGGCATGTGAGTAACATTAGTATATCGGATATCTCAACTTCACATTTAACCTTTGATTTAGTATTTTGTCAAAGCCATTTCTGGAGAAAAATGTTTTTTTTTTTTTTTTTGTGATCGAAACAACTGAGATGGGGATATTAGTCTGAATAATTACTGGGAAAGAAAACAAACCATAACATGGTTGCATACACATAACTTTGAATAAATTTAATTTGTAAATAGATAAGCATCACTTTAATGGGGTTAAATAATGTCATGTTGACCCAAATAATGGGTGTGCTATGAAAGTAATGTAATATTCTCCCATTTGTATTTCCACCATTATTGGCATTATATCTATTATATAATAACACCTGATTTCACAGATGGAATGGAATAACTAAAAGAAAAGCAATGACAAATATGCTTTTCTTTTTCTTGGGATTTTATACTGCTAAGTTGTGCACAAGATTATATATACATATTTACATAGCTCAAGCAAAGAAACTATATCACATGTCTACAACAGCAAGCAGTCTGAAAAAAAATCTAAGTAATATTTCTCAAAGGGAAAACTGGAGTTAGAGCAGTTTCTCTATAAACCTGGTCAGGCCATGTGGCTTTTCCTGTAAGGCCTACTGCTGTGGGCTAGGGATATCCTTGTCTGGGCTTTAAATTCACAACTGCCCTTTGTCATTCTATCCACTGAAGTCACTCTCACTCGCAATCACATGACTCTTGTGACATTATCTCAATGAAAGGGAGATAATCACCTTTTGTATCCCTACAACCTTTTTTAACCTTAGAAACATTTTCTACATTTGAAATTAAAACGTGGAAATTTTTACATCATATTTTCGTGAAATTTTTAGTTTCCAAAGTTACACTTTCTAATTATAGTTTTGAAATATAGGGAAGAAAAAGAGGTCTGTTTAAAATGAAATGCAAAATGGTAAACAACATTAGATTGGATGATTTTTGCACTTCAACATGTGTAGAAATAAATGGTCCTAACTGAATGATGTATGTCTAATGTAATAGGCAAAAATGTAGTGTAGCTGTGGCAACCATAGGAATACTATTTAACCATGCAATGATTGTTGGATCAAGAAAGATGTGGCACTGTCTCTTACAGAGGAAATTATTCAAGGTTTTTCTTGAACAACAGTAGCAAACATCATTGACACACAAAAACTGCAAGCAACCACAGGTGATGTAAGAACATGATTACTGGTAACTGACAAGGATAGTAACCCCCTAACAAAGGGGAGAATTGCATCAACGCCTGCATTTGATATTGGTGCCACTCCACCCACCAGTTAACATACTGTACAGAATATACTGCATTGTAAATGTTTTCATAATTAACGATTTACAAGGATACCATTATTGCCATTTGTGTGTGCGTGTGTGTGTGCATATATATATATATATATATATATATATATAAAATGTAATGTTAGAATTTGAATTTTTGTATATGTCCCCGCCCTTATTAATTTTGAGCTGAAATTTTTACAAGTTGATTGGTCAGGGTAATGGGGATGCCATTATTGGTATAGCTGGGTATCTTTTCCTAAATCTTATTGTACAAGAATTTGTATGTGTCAAAATAATAACTAACATGTATTTTGACTGACTCTTCTCTTTTTCTAGTGGCATCTTGGTTTCTTCAAAGATGAATACACCCCAACAAAACGAGGTTTCCAATCACACATTGGATACTGGCTTGGTGCTGAAGACTATTTCAATCATTTAGCTGAAGCTCATGTAAGTTTGCTTATGGAAATTTATCTTTAGAAAATCTGGAAGAATACAGAAAGTGGACAACTGATAAGTAGTAATTAGTACAATGTAGAGTAACCTCTTCAGTCACTGTGAGCAACATCATATAGTATGAAAGATCACGTTGATTTCATGGGTTAAATTATATGACTTAATGGGAATAATATCCATTTCCTTGCAAGGAAAAATTTAGCATTCATTGACCAAGCAGCCAGTACTGCTTTCAGATGAAATTTATAAAATCTATTTCTTAAAACACTTTTTTCAGAAAACAAGTTTGTCCAGTCCAGTAGCTGTTATCATTCTTTACAATATTGATGGGGGGTTTCCTTCTTAACTGTTATGTCGTGTATCCACTAAGTTCTTATTCCCACTTCCGTTCTCGTTGGTGTCCATTTATTATATATGAGCTACCTGCTCATATGCAAATTAGTATAATTTGCATATCACTACATCTCCCTATAACGGAGGGGCCTTATGCCGCGAGTACTTCTTGTACTTCTTCTTGTGCCCTCCTGAACATCTTCCTTTATCTCTCTCCTTTCCTTTGGAGATCTAGATCTATCACGTCTTTCCCTATAATCGAATTGTTCCTCTTGCATACTCTGGTCTTCCTCTTCTAACTCCTCTCTCTACTTCTTCCTCCGCAGTTTCATTCTGCATTAACTCTTCTGATACATCAATAATGGGCATCTCTGAAGGCATTTCCTCATCAGATTCTTCTCCTTGGGATCTTATTTGGTCAGCATGAGCTAGAACACTGTTCCCATTTTCTTTATTTAATATTGCAGTATTATGTCCTTTCTGCATAATAAATTCGGCTGACTCTGGTTGCATATTCCTATTTCTTTTGTACCACATCTTTTGATTTGTGGCATATGACATAGTCAAAGGGGACCTTAATTGTCTGCCCATTAAGGCAGATGGACTTTGGCCTGCCTGCATGTGGAATTGTTCTGTAACTTAATAGTAATCTTGGTAGGAAAGCATCGATTTCCTCCTTCTGTTGCAAGCATGCTTTTATGCCCTTCTTTACCGTCTGGACCATCCTTTCCGCTGCCCCATTACTTTGAGGGTGGTAGGGAGGTGTCTTGTAAGGTCTGCATCCTATTTTTCTTAGCCATTCATGCAAATCAGCATCCACAAATTCTGGTGCGTTATCAGTCACCAGTGTTCTCGGTGTCCCATTCCTTGAAAATATTACTCTTAATATTTGTTTTACGGTGGTTTTTTTTTATCAGGTACTCTCACCACTTCAGGCCAACCTGAATATGCGTCTACTAATATTAATAATAGTCCTATCCCATTGACATAGGCATGGTCCATGTGTACTCTGCTCCATGGTTCTACTTCTCGGGGCCATACATGTATTTTCTTTTGCTTAAAATTCCTGAGTTCTGTGCATTTTTTGCATCTTTTTACGTAGTCTTCTACGTCTCTTGAGTACCCCGGCCACCAGGCTTCCAATTTTAATCTTCTTTGCGTAGCTGCCACTCCACAATGTACGTCATCATGTACACTTTTTATAACCTGTCTCCTCTGTGTTTCTGGGGGAACTACCAAGTCTCCATTACATATTATCCCGTTTTCTATAGTCATTCTATGTCTAATTTCTTTGAATGGTCTTTCAGCCATTGAACAATTTCCCCAGCGATTCTGTTCTATCCTCGACATTATTCTATTTAACACTGGGTCATTTGTAGTTTCAGTAGCCATTTTATCTACAGATATTACATCGGTTTCTACAAGGTGCAAGAATGTGTCTTCAAATTCCTCGTCGTTTTTGTCCTCCTCTCTATAAAACCTCAATCTAGATAAAGGCATCAACGCTGGGTATCGTATTCCCTTTAACATATTCAATGTCAAAGTCGAACGCCATCAGTCTAATCGCCCAACGTAATATTCTGGACGTTGTAACTTTTGGTAGCTCTTTTCTTGGGTTGAAAATAAATTCCAGTGGTCTATGATCACTTTTCAACAAGAATTTTTCCCCATCAAAAACTGTCTTGCTCTATGCGTTGTCCACACTATGGCTAGTGCCTCCTTTCTATATATTCGAATAATTGTGTTCAGTTGTTGTTAATCTCCTTGATAAGTACATTATGGGATGCCCATCTTGTGACAAAATACCAGATATGGACTGCTCACTAGCGTCAGTAGTTAGAGTTATGTCCTTCTTAGGGTCAAAAATTTGTACTATTGGCTTTTTTTTGCCAGAATCTGTTTTAAGTTTTCAAAGGCTTTCTGTTGGTGTTCTAACCAAATGAATTCCACATTTTTTTTTCTTAACTTAGCAAATGGCTCTGTCAACTCATTATATTTTGGTACATATTTTCTATAAAAATTTACCAAACCTAAGAAGGACTCAATTCTTTTTATTTTTTGGTGTAGCAACTTTTAGAATTTTCTCTATTAGTACTTTATCTGGAGAGATCCCTTCCTTTGATATTGAGTAACCCAAAAATGATATTTCATTACTGTTGGTTACACACTTTTTTGTATTTATTGTCATACCAGCGTCTCTCAGCCGGTTCAGTATATTGATAACAGATGGTATTTTCAACATTTCCTATTACTTTTTCAATAGCTTTTTGAAAATTTTTTGAAAAATTGCACTTGCCGTTTTTATGCCATATGGCATTCTTTTCCACCTTAACAGGCCTATAGGTGTGTTTATAGTCGTCACTTCTTTAAAATTTTCATTTATCGGTATTTGATGGTAAGCTGATTTTAGGTCTATCTTCGAAAATACTTTCATTCCAGCAAGCTTATGTAAAGCTACTTCCACATTTGGAATAGGGTACGAGTCAGCACAAACTTTATGGTTCACCCCTATTTTATAATCTCCACAAATTCTCAGGTCACCATCTTTTTTTTTTTTTCAATACCACGATGGGTGATGCCCATTTACTTCCTCCTGGAGGGGCAGGTTCTAATAAGTCTTCTTTTTATTTTCATAATTTAGCTATTACCAATGGTAATAAATGCACTGGTATTTTTCTCGCTTCGTAGTAATTTTAATTTCAGGCTAGCTTCATAGTTTTTAATTTTCCTGTTTTTTCTATTTCTATCTCATTAATCAACTTCGTTGAATTTATTTTTAACACGTCATTCCCCAGTAGTCCATGCGTTTTTTGGCAATTTGTAACTATAATGGGTACTATTTCATATTTTTCTTTTAATTCTATTGAACCTTCAAAGTAACCCATAATTGCTATAATCGAGCCATCAAACTGACGTAGTTGTCGTTGTTTTTTTAAAAACGGTTTTCCCATTTTTCCCACAAATTTCTGGGTACTATCGTGACGTCACTACCTGTGTCGATTTGCATTTCGACAATACAGTCGTTGATTTTCACTTTTATTTTTGTATCTCCGTTCTTAGATCCAGTATTTTGTATATTATCCTTTTTACATTAAAATCTGTCTATTTTCATCCTCTACTCTTTCCACATTTTCGTTTTACATACTTCTTTGAAGTGATTTTTTTTAAACACTTTGAACACGTCTTTCCAAAGGCTGGGCATTTTTCTTTTTTCATTTCATGAATTTTTCCACAATCGCACAATTTTTTCTTTTTGTTTGTACCATATACGTTTCAGCCATTATTTCGTCGTAGGATTTATTTTTATTTTGGTTGTAGGTATGTATTAATTCCTGCTGTTGTATAAATTCTATACACATATTCAAAGGCATGTTTGTAAGTTGTAACTGTTCCATTAACTTATATCTATGTGCCGAATTATGCATACCTTCAATTAATCTTAGTTGGATTAATTCTTCTTCCGTTGTCTGCTCGCCTGTTCCTAGTTTTTGAATTCACAGTATTTACTCGCACTTCTTAACCGGTGTAAATATTTTACTATCGGTTCATCCACTTCCTGCTTCATTGCCATAAACTTGGTCCTTTCTGCAATCACCAGTCTTTTCTTTGGCCTCATGTTTCCCTTAATAACCTGACTTATTTCTTCCGAAAGTCATTTCTTCTAGTTCTCGAGGGTAAACCATTGTAGCAACCTTCATAATCGCTTCACAACCAGCGGTAGACATGAACAAGTCGGTGATTTCATTTTCCCCTCCTCTGTTTTTGTTGTCTTTCAACTTTTTACATCTAGCATTAGCAGCAAAGCAACGAATCCATGTGTCACGTACTCTGGGTCTTCAAGGACCAAAGAGTATCCTATCGGCGACGTCATTGTTATGTCGTGTATCCACTAAGTTCTTATTCCCACTTCCGTTCTCGTTGGTGTCCATTTATTATATATGAGCTACCTGCTCATATGCAAATTATACTAATTTGCATATCACTACATTAACCTTTTATAAGAAATGGTGTGGATCGTCAACATCTTGATTAAATCATCATTTTCTCAAGTTACATGTGCTATCCATTTTAGCTGTTGACGCTTTTGATAGACCTCAAGTGGTGTGATTTGTGTTATTTGGTATGGTTCTTTGTGATTCTGTAGCGCCAGTCCACAACATTCAAAGAAGGATGATCTTTGATAAGACCCTCAGGCTTTACTTACTCAAAACCTTTTTTTTTCACCATTGTAGATATTTCTGAATGGATTTTGGTGCCATGCATGACACCTATATAAAAGTCTCAATTTGACAAGGCTATTTGAGAATATAAATTGAGTTTTCAGGTTGATGTTTTGATTTTGTAGCAATTTGCAATGTTTGGCAAAACAACCTCTGGCACAGACTATTCTATGGTTGACTCCTTTTTTCTCCTATACATAATTTGTTCTTGCTGATCCATACACTGCGGTATCTAAAGTGTTTAGTATTTTACTAATTGCACATACCCTGAATCCATCATAAAAATTCAGTATGTGCCATCACTGCTTTCATTCTAATTGCAGATCATAGTTTATTTTGGAAAGGTTTATGTTGAGTCCCATTTCTTGGAACACTGGATAGAGGATGCTGATTTTGAATCCTTGAATAATCTGAGAGAAGTGTATGCTAGTTGATGTTTGACAAAGTGGGCATCATTACTGTTATAGACAAGCGTATGGTTGCAAGAAAGAAATACGACAACAGTAGAAATAGATTTACGTGATTTATGTCAATAGGAACATGTGGATTTGAGACAGCTACCTTGTGGTATAGTTCATAGGCTGGCTGAAGATCTGGGTTGATCTCTCATAGTAGTTCTTGCTGGTTGGCGTGGCGCTACTGCTGCTAGCTGCTGCTGGCCGCTCAGCCTGACTGTGACAGGTCTCTTCCCTGGCCTCCTGTTGACTGCTGTTGTACTCTGCGTGACCCCTTTTATGGCTTAACAGGCTCGAAAAACGACATGAGTATAATTAGGAGGGAAGCATTTTTATTGCTCGAAAAATAGAAACACTTTAAAATATTTTAAAATATTATTCTATTTTTCGACTGGAACTCGTGCGTTGGGAACATGCGTAAACGAAGATAATGGTCATTTTGTGACGGAGCCTTGTCCCGTTCACACCTGGCTCTCGCTCTTGAGTATGTTAGTTTATTTGCCTGTAAATCAGCTGAGATATGTCTTATTTTATTTTATAACATCACATACCTCTCTCTCATATATTTAAATTTAGATATAAATAAAAGCCTATCTGTAAAAAAAAAACACATGAATTAACACATTTCGTCTTTTGATGGACACTATCAATACATATCGAATACATTAGTCATACATAGAAATAAGTTCAACCTCAATCAGTTGTTATGGTAATTTACCATGCACGCATGGACTCTCCCAGTTATAAATAGGAGCAGGTACTGCCTTTTGGTAGAGGGAAGTTTCCAGCAGTCATCTTTGACAGTCGGACCAAACATTCTTGCTGTAACACTCTCATTTGTATATGTTTGTATTACTGTTAATATATCTGTTTAAATCGATTACTCTCTTGTGTCTTTATTTCTGGCCCTAACAAGGCCACAACCCTAGTCATACATAGAAATAAGTTCAACCTCAATCTAAGAGAAAGATGAACAATTCTTGGAAGTTTAACCATTCCACCATATATATATATATATATATATATATATATATATATATATATATATACACACATTGAGTAAATCATATATATTATTAAAAAAGGAATGAAAATAGGATTGTGTTAAATACTTCAGTATGAAGTATGTGCTGACACTAGCTTAAGCAAAAATATAGTTAATCCTACAGTGAAATATATTGTTTGGTTGATTTTTTGGTTGATGTCAACTCTTTTTTTGGTTGTTTGATAATGAATTTTGTACCGAACACCCAATGAGTTGTGGCTTTGTGCTAGTCTAAGCTAATCTTATTTTGATAATAAACCACCCAGTGAGGATCAAACTTACTGCTGGAGAATTTTGAGAGAGAAGCTTTCCCACCATTGCTCTTCAGCAACTGCTGAGTGTTGTGTTGCACTGTACCTGAAACTCTGAGAAACTTTAATTTGTTTTTCATGCCTGCATTCTACTAATAAAACTGTTTTATTTATTTATTTTGACCATAATATCAATAACCAAATAAATGTTTGTATTGATTTGTAGTACGGAGAGATTGGATATGATTTTCATCGCAATATGTCTGTAGACAAAGAAGCATTAGGAAAATATTCTACAGAACTCTTTACAGAAGAAGCTGTTAAATTGATTCAACACCATAATCAGACTCAGGTAAGTCAGTTATATGTGTACAAGTTGTATGCTGTCAGTAATTTTCGTATTAATTTCTGACTGCCAACAATTGCTTGCCTCATTTTCAATGCATTTCTATAATAAAACCATTTGCTGTACATTTACATTTTGAATATAAGTCCTATTTTGTCAATAATGTTTGCATTAATTCCTGACTACTGACAATCCCTTTCTTTTTTGATTTTCAATGTATTCTTATAATAAAAATTTAAGCAATATATTACATATATGAATGTCTTAAAATTACATATATTTTACTATATATATATATATATATATATATACACACACACAATAACCCTATTTTTTAAGCAATGCTTCTATTAATTCCTGACCACTGGCAATCCCTTTCTTCCTGATTTTCAATGTATTCTTATCATAAAATCTTTTGCTAATGTTCTTTTTATTATTTTAACAAAGGTAAAAATGCAACTTAAATGCAGTTTCATAAGATACTCTAAACTGAGCATGACAAACCATTGGAATGTGTGCAAAAAGATGAGATGTGGTGCAGTGTTTTTTTTGTTAATTGATATTTGTATTCTATGGTGTTGTTGTTCTGGCTTCAGGAAGATAGAAGATGGCAATCGATGTTGCATTTAAATTTTTGAAGATCGTAGTTAGTAGGGAAGAAAGAAACTGGAAGCAAACTCCACAGACAAGAAAGTGTGAGAAAAGACTGTTAGAATAGAATTAATGGTTACATCTATTTTGACAGTAAAATGATGAGACCTAATTGCCAATTAAGTAGATTGCAGTTGGGGTACTGAGGAAGAGAGCTCATGAGAACAATTGCCATGAAAATATTTATAAAAATACAGGGAAACCATGTCTCAGTGTGGGGAAAGTGACTGAAATTGAGATGCCAGGTCAGGACCAATAATATTACAAACCCTTTTTTGGTTTTTGTGAAGAATCTTGAGATATATAGCTGGAACACCAGACTAGATATGGCAGTAATATTTAATGCATGGATGAATGGTTGTTTTTTTTTTGTTTTTTTAAAAATTCAGTTTTCTTTCAGAATGCTAAAAAAATGAGCAACGTGAAAAACATTGCATAACTTAATCATGAATGCAATGAACAATGGAAAAAGAAATTCTCCTTTATAATGATTTTAATAGACATCATAAAACACAATATGTGACTGAAATAGAGGGAAAATCTGAAGATAAAATATATGTGTTTTTACTTGGAATTCTCATACTACAATAGAAAACCAAGTCTGATAGCAATGCAAAATACTTTCATTAATGAGGCATTATCATTATTAACATTCATATTGTTCTCATTTTTCTTGCTATTGTAGCAATATAAGTCAGCTGAAATCTTGTTAAATTGAAAACGGTGGAGAAAATGTTGCAAAAATGGATATGGAACATTTACTTTCAACTGATGGTTATCAGTGGAGTCATCTTCAAATTACAGAGCAAGAGGCTCAGACAGAGAAAGTCATGGAAAGAAGGAAGCAAGCCTTGCAGAATGGATGGGGAAGACTGACGCTAAACTGTGCACCTCACCCATCTCTACTTCACTGACTTATAGCAATAGGTTACAACCCAAAAATAAAATCTGGTTTACTGCTAGAAATTTTGTTTTGTTTTTTCGCCTGTAGGTAACAATCTGGCTGAAGGGTAATTTTTACACTACAAGTATTTGACTGGAAGAAATTGTACCCTGTCTATTAACCTGGTGTCTGGTCTGAGCTGCAATGCTACACTGTTATCACAATGTTTCGGCTGTTGTGCTCTGAGGTTTAAAATCAGAGGATTCCTTCTCTTTATATATATATATATATAGCATTAACTACATTGTAACCCACACCCTATTTACACCCATCTGACTTTCTTTTCCCTCCTCATTTGTGGCCTTTGCGTTGCCTTGATAGGGTTGGTTTGGGTTTCTAGTGTGGGACTGAATATGCATTGTTGTTTTCGGCAGTTGGAGATTCATCTCCAGTTGTGCTGGTCAAACTCTCTGTCTCTGGGCAGAGAGGATCCCCAGATAAGGCTATATCAAAGGGCAGAGTCTTGTCTTGGGAAACAGCTACCCGACCCAGTTTTATATAGAGTCTACAGTGACATTTTGGCAGAGCCTATGGGTTTGGATACCCCACATTAAATTCAGACTTATGCGACATCTTACCATGTGGGGCAGTTGGTAGATATCTTGAATATGCATTGTGTACTGCAGTTAAGAATGAATAATTCTTAACGCACAGCTATGATAACTTTTGTCTCTTTGCATACAAAGAAAATATTGGTAATCAGAGCTGAAATAAGATCTCCTTCAATATAATGCAAAACACTGAAGAAACTTTCAGTATTTAATGACTAATGGTAAAGGTAAAAAGTAACAGAAGGTCATGAATTAATGCACTCTCATTTTTTCTTGTAATTTTTGTAGCCCTTGTTTTTATACCTGCCATACCAAGCTGTACACAGTGGTAATGATTATGAAAGGCTCCAAGCACCACAGAAATACATTAACCGATTTCCAAACATCAAGCACCATGGACGGAAAATCTATGCAGGTGAACATTTAATTTGTTTTGGTAAATTTGTGTAAAAGTTAACTTGGTAGATCTGAGCTAGTTGATTATTTATCACCTGTAATAAAGCCCAATAAATTATGAATGCTGATTTTCAAGGCAGGTTTTATCCACTTGGAAAATTGGTACAATAAAGAGCAATAGGATGACGCAATTTCATTTTTTGCTTAATTTCATCTCTGTACAGTACATTGAAAATGAAGGTATTGTCAATGGTCAGGAACTAAAGCAAGTATTACTGACAGTTGTGCATTGTAGTGTAATAGATATCAACTCAAAATGAGAAATTTGAGTTTGAGTCTGTTACATTCTCTTATGCACAAATACCCTTGGGAAAGGATGAATTTGTCTTTTCTCCCCCACAGCTATGGGTTGAATAGCAGAGCAGAATGGGCCCTATAGCCGGGTTTGGCAACCAGTATAGCACAGAAAGAAATTGCAACCTACTGTGAAAATCTGCCTAGTCAATTATGAATCAAAAAAAGACATGATTGCCCAAGTGTGTATCATGTGATGGCACTTAACTGATTACTGACATAATGAAGATAGCTACTGTATATACTCGCCTATCTTGCGACTTTTGAAGACCTAATTTTGAAGCTAATTTTAAGAGGGTTGCATCATACATGAGATATAAAATTAGTGTATGTACAGCTGGCCCTGGCTATGCCATTGACCAAACTATATATCCATTTACTGTAGTCAAATTAGCTTCAAAAGTCACATGATACATGGTATGTATGTATGTATGTATGTATGTATGTATGAATGTATATATATATATATATATATATATATATATATATATATATATATATATATATATATATATATATATATATATATAAAATTTTGCTGAGAATCCAATGGAATGGTGAATATATAATTTGGGAATGTTTTATTTTGATGTTTTATGATGATACTGTTTGTATCACCATAAAAACGGATTTTATTTCAACTAAGTTTACATTAGTGAGACAGAACATGATTTACGCTGTTTTTTTTTGTTTGTTTGTTTGAAAATCAGTTCACCCCAAGCAAGGAAATAATACTACTAAGATGCAAGGGGTTACTTGGAGTGAAAGAGAATGAAAAGATTTTAGAAGTAACCAGAAATCCAACTCTAAAAACCAAACAAAAGATAAATCTCTAGTCCTGTTCAAAAAACCTGGGAGGATTTCAAGTAAAATTCAAGTGCTCTTATTAAATACTTAACAAAATATCAGTTTTATAGACGCTGTCAATTTTTACTGTATGGATAAACTAGTATATTTAGTAATTAGTTATACATTTTGTTTATTTAGTATTAAATATTTGAGTTTAATTTTGTGGACAGGGATGGTTTCTGCCTTGGATGATGGAGTGGGAAAAGTCATAAAAGCCTTGAAGGACACTGGCATGTACAGCAATTCAGTTATTGTCTTTTCAACTGATAATGGGGGACCAACTCATGGCTATGATGGAAATATGGCTTCCAATTGGCCTCTCAGGTATGAATATACTCTTATTTGCCTCTTTCCGTTAAGAGAATATTTCAGGTGAGCAAAGGTGTTACTACCACCCTACAATGTGGTGGAGGCTGCATCACCAACACACCGAAATTGTCACTCCATAAAGTGCCCATCATCTGATGATATGATTGCATGCCTAACACAGATGAAACTTCTACTTATGGCTGACTGTCATATAACACCATGTTATTGAAAATATGTTTCTGTACCATGGATAGCGGTTCTGACTGAGGAATTGGAGAGCCGAGTTCAAATTCTAGTTAAATCCATTACATTCACTTACGTGCTAATACCCTTGGGAAAGGTATGAATCCTCTTCTTCTCTCAACAGCTATGGGTAAATAGCAGGACAGACTGGGTTCTATAGCCTTAGATGGCAACTGGTCTACTGCAGTAAGAAATGGCAACCTACTGCAGGAAAAAATCTGCCTTGTCAGTCATGTATCAAAATATCGCCTAAACATGTATTACACATGGCACATAACCGACTGACCATTTAGACATTGAGCATGATTTTTGGTGTTTTTGCAAAGCACTCCAAGAGTGATTTTGTTTTAGAAAATATATAATTGCTCTTCTATACCAAATGACCAGGTAGTAGGCAACACCTTGTTTCAAGAATGCCCAAGACAAATATGGACATTGAGAAGCCCAGGAGGAGAAACTAAAAACCAAAATCAATTAGATCAACAAGAGATTCAGGAATGCTATTGTACACTGCAAAACCTATCCAAGTACCTGCTATGGAAGTGAACACCACCACGTGATATGTGAAACTATGGAAATTGAACCCCAAATGCGAATAGACGTACTGGTGCAGAATTAGACCCTGTAGTCTTTTTGAATACCTCGAGTGGGGGAGATTGCTCATGGCTCCAGTATCAATTATGGAATTGTTTCACCTGTTTTGTTTTGTTTCCCATTTCAAGTTTGTCTTCACCACTTGGTGAATGTGTCTGTGTCATTTCACTCAGAGGAGACATGCACCTGTTTGTTTTATTGCAGTACCCCCAAATGCGAATAGACGTACTGGTGTCAAATTTTTAGTTAGAACACTGTTAAAGTAGTTTTTGAATACCTCGAGTGGTAGGAGATTGCTCATGGCTCCAGTATCAATTATGACATTTATTACTTCACCTGTTTTGTTTTGTTTCCCACTCTCAAGTTTGTCTTCACCACTTGGTGAATGTGTCTGTGTCTCACTCAGAGGAGACATGCACCTGTTTGTTTCATTGCAGTACCCCCAAATGCGAATAGACGTACTGGTGTCATTTCTAGTTACACACCCTGTAGTCTTTTTTGAATACCCGAGTGGTAGGAGATTGCTCATGGCTCCAGTATCAATTATTATGACATTTAACTTCACCTGTTTTGTTTTGTTTCCCACTCTCAAGTTTGTCTTCACCACTTGGTGAATGTGTCTGTGTCTCTCCTCAGAGGAGACATGCACCTGTTTGTTTCATTGCAGTACCCCCAAATGCGAATAGACGTACTGGTGTCATTTCTAGTTACACACCCTGTAGTTTTTTGAATACCTCGAGTGGTAGGAGATTGCTCATGGCTCCAGTATCAATTATGACATTTATTATTTCACCTGTTTTGTTTTGTTTCCCACTCTCAAGTTTGTCTTCACCACTTGGTGAATGATGTGTGTGTCTCACTCCGAGGAGACATGCACCTGTTTGTTTCATTGCAGTACCCCCAAATGCGAATAGACGTACTGGTGTCATTTCTAGTTACACACCCTGTAGTCTTTTTGAATACCTCGAGTGGTAGGAGATTGCTCATGGCTCCAGTATCAATTATGACATTTATTACTTCACCTGTTTTGTTTTGTTTCCCACTCTCAAGTTTGTCTTCACCACTTGGTGAATGTGTCTCTCACTCAGAGGAGACATGCACCTGTTTGTTTCATTGCAGTACCCCAAATGCGAATAGACGTACTGGTGTCATTTCTAGTTACACACCCTGTAGTCTTTTTTGAATACCTCGAGTGGTAGGAGATTGCTCATGGCTCCAGTATCAATTATGACATTTATTATTTCACCTGTTTTGTTTTGTTTCCCACTCTCAAGTTTGTCTTCACCACTTGGTGAATGTGTCTGTGTCTCACTCAGAGGAGACATGCACCTGTTTGTTTCATTGCAGTACCCCCAAATGCGAATAGACGTACTGGTGTCATTTCTAGTTACACACCCTGTAGTCTTTTTGAATACCTCGAGTGGTAGGAGATTGCTCATGGCTCCAGTATCAATTATGACATTTATTACTTCACCTGTTTTGTTTGTTTTTGTTTGTCTCCACCACTTGGTGAAACTCTCACTCAGAGTTTTGCTGTTTCAAGTTTGTTTCTGTTTTGAATGTGTACACACCCTGTGTCTTTTGAATACCTCAGAGGAGAGACATGCACCTGTTTGTTTGACATTGCATTACCCCAAATGCGAATAGACGTACTGGTGTCATTTCTAGTTACATAGACGTACTGTAGTTTTTTGAATACTTTTTCGAGTGGTAGGAGATTGCTCATGGCTCCAGTATCAATTATGACATTTATTATTTCACCTGTTTTGTTTTGTTTCCCACTCTCAGTTTGTCTTCACCACTTGGTGAATGTGTCTGTGTCTCACCCAGAGGAGACATGCACCTGTTTGTTTTCATTGCAGTACCCCCAAATGCGAATAGACGTACTGGTGTCATTTCTAGTTACACACCCTGTAGTCTTTTTTGAATACCTCGAGTGGTAGGAGATTGCTCATGGCTCCAGTATCAATTATGACATTTATTACTTCACCTGTTTTGTTTTGTTTCCCACTCTCAAGTTTGTCTTCACCACTTGGTGAATGTGTCTGTGTCTCACTCAGAGGAGACATGCACCTGTTTGTTTCATTGCATTACCCCAAATGCGAATAGACGTACTGGTGTCATTTCTAGTTACACACCCTGTAGTCTTTTTGAATACCTCGAGTGGTAGGAGATTGCTCATGGCTCCAGTATCAATTATGACATTTATTATTTCACCTGTTTTGTTTTGTTTCCCACTCACAAGTTTGTCTTCACCACTTGGTGAATGTGTCTGTGTCTCACTCAGAGGAGACATGCACCTGTTTGTTTCATTGCAGTACCCCCAAATGCGAATAGACGTACTGGTGTCATTTCTAGTTACACACCCTGTAGTCTTTTTGAATACCTCGAGTGGTAGGAGATTGCTCATGGCTCCAGTATCAATTATGACATTTATTACTTCACCTGTTTTGTTTTGTTTCCCACTCTCAAGTTTGTCTTCACCACTTGGTGAATGTGTCTGTGTCTCCTCAGAGGAGACATGCACCTGTTTTTTTCATTGCAGTACCCCAAATGCGAATAGACGTACTGGTGTCATTTCTAGTTACACACCCTGTAGTCTTTTTGAATACCTCGAGTGGTAGGAGATTGCTCATGGCTCCAGTATCAATTATGACATTTATTATTTCACCTGTTTTGTTTTGTTTCCCACTCTCAAGTTTGTCTTTTGGTGAATGTGTTGTGTCTCCTCAGAGGAGACATGCTCCTGTTTGTTTCATTGCAGTACACCCAAATGCGAATAGACGTACTGGTGTCATTTCTAGTTACACACCCTTGTAGTTTTTTGAATACCTCATTGCAGTACCCCCAAAGTGGTAGGAGATTTAGTTCATGGTTTTTCCAGTATCAATTATGACATTTATTATTTCACCTGTTTTGTTTTGTTTCCCACTCTCAAGTTTGTCTTCACCACTTGGTGAATGTGTCTGTGTCTCACTCAGAGGAGACATGCTCCTGTTTGTTTTATTGCAGTACCCCCAAATGCGAATAGACGTACTGGTGTCATTTCTAGTTACACACCCTGTAGTCTTTTTGAATACCTCGAGTGGTAGGAGATTGCTCATGGCTCCAGTATCAATTTATGACATTTATTATTTCACCTGTTTTGTTTTGTTTCCCACTCTCAAGTTTGTCTTCACCACTTGGTGAATGTGTCTGTGTCTCACTCAGAGGAGACATGCTCCTGTTTGTTTCATTGCAGTACCCCCAAATGCGAATAGACGTACTGGTGTCATTTCTAGTTACACACCCTGTAGTCTTTTTGAATACCTCGAGTGGTAGGAGATTGCTCATGGCTCCAGTATCAATTATGACATTTATTATTTCACCTGTTTTGTTTTTGTTTCCCACTCTCAAGTTTGTCTCACCACTTGGTGAATGTGTGGACACTCACCAGGTTTTGTGTCTGTTTGTTTGTTTCATTGCAGTACCCCCAAATGCGAATAGACGTACTGGTGTCATTTTAGTTACACACCCTGTAGTCTTTTTGAATTTGGTAGGAGATTGCTCATGGCTCCAGTATCAATTATGACATTTATTTTCACCTGTTTTGTTTTGTTTCCCACTCTCAAGTTTGTCTTCACCACTTGGTGAATGTGTCTGTGTCTTTCAGAGGAGACATGCACCTGTTTGTTTCATTGCAGTACCCCCAAATGCGAATAGACGTACTGGTGTCATTTCTGTTACACACCCTGTAGTCTTTTTTGTTACCTCACAGGAGATTGCTCCTGGTTTTTATGACATTTTTATTTCACCTGTTTTGTTTTGTTTCCCCTCTCAAGTTTGTCTTCACCACCTTTGGAGAATGTGTTGCTCAGAGGAGACATGCTCCTGTTTGTTTCATTGCATACCCCCAAATGCGAATAGACATTTATGTCATTTCTAGTTTTGTGTTTTGAATACCTTTTTTCATGGCTCCAGTATCAATTATGACATTTATTTTTGTTTTGTTTTGTTTCCCACCACAAGTTTGTCTTTGGTGTGTCTGTGTCTCACTCAGAGGAGACATGCACCTGTTTGTTTCATTGCAGTACCCCCAAATGCGAATAGACGTTTTTGGTGTCATTTCTAGTTACACACCTGTAGTTTTTGAATACCTTTGAGTGGTACCCCAAAGGAGATTGTTTTTCTTTTTGAATACCTCAGTGGTAGGAGATTGCTCATTTTATCAATTATGACATTTATTACTTCACCTGTTTTGTTTTGTTTCCCACTCTCAAGTTTGTCTTCACCACTTGGTGAATGTGTCTGTGTCTCACCAGAGGAGACATGCACCTGTT